CTGAGGGACATCAGGCAGAAACTCGGGGCAGGAACCTGGAGGAAGGAACTGAGGCAGAGGCTATGTTGCTTACTGGCTTGCTTATCTCATACAGCCCAGGCCATCTGTTAGGGGATGTCACCAGCCCCAGTAGGCTGGGCCCGCCCATATCAATTAATAGTTAAGAAAATGCTTCACAGATAATGTCCACAGGCCAGTCTATGGAAGCAGTGCCTCAGGTGAGGTTCCTTCTTCCCAGCTGACTCCAGTTTGTGTCAAGTTGGCAAAAACTACCCAGCACAGAATTTATAAGCCATGTCTATCATTTTGGATATTATTTGTTCAGCCAATATGGCTGCCTTTGACTGTACTGTCCCAAGGACTTAGGGGCATTTTATTCACATTATTAAAATGTCAGATGTGTTGGGATGGTGCATTAAATTCTGCTGTTTAAGAATTTCTGAGAGAAGGTGATGGCAGTAAGATGTTAAGCTGGGTCTCCTAATATTGCTAGGCTTTAGAGATAAAGTCCTGATTTCTAACCACTGTCTGAGGGAGATACATCAGAGAGTAAGGTGTCAAAATATATGTTAAGGTGTAATTTATTGTTGTATCATTCAGGAGATTAGACTCTAGTTTAGCTAAAAAGCATGTACTAAATGCTTGACAGCTATGCAGTATGTCAGAAATCCAAGATCAGTGAAGATATGATTTCACTCAGGGACAGTGGAAGTTGACAAGTAATTTTTCTTCTGTTGCACTGTACCTTCTTATTTTGTGAACTGATGAGAATAACTTATGTAATAAAAAATTCAGCCAAGCTTATTTTAAAAAGTCTTATTTCATTGCAGCCCAGCTTTCTATGTAATGGAGGCAGATGCAGTGAAAGATGATTTTTGACACAAGGAGGTTGGGCTATGATAGAGGTATTCATTGAGTCAGTAGGAGAAAAGTGGTAACTTCAACCTAGAATTTTTAGGAAAGGTAAGTGGGAGGAGTCTGTAGTTTAACTGATTCTTCAATAGTGATTATCAAAGAAAAGTAGGATACTTATTCCAGACTAGAGAATAAATAGAGTCAGAAATGTGTGCAAGGAATTTGCTAGTAGTGTTAGCTGATGATGGTGGTGGACAGTTCAGTGGCATGCAAGAGGGCCTCTTATGCAGTTCAACAGTTTAAATGAACAACTTAAAGTAGGAAAATAGCAGGCTCATTTTTAAAATGCATGTGAGAAATATTCAGCTTTCTTTGATTTTGATCTAAATGCACTAAAATGGCCACCTACATTTTCTTTTCTGTTTAGTAGCAGGACGATTTGGGACACTGAAAGCAGTGTGATTTTTCTGCCTTTGTTGAGTTGAAGAGATCTGAGGAAGGTCTTGTGGCACCCTGCTAGCCCTCAGCTGGTCTAATCAGAAAGGGCACAACTTGCTGGGTCTGCTCCTAGTAATATGATAGCTTTGGGGGCCTTTGCTTCCTCTCTTCCACTGGCAGTGTCTGCTTCAACTCAGCTCTTCATTTCAGTATTGGTATACTACTGAAGATACTTTCATTGTTTTCTTGACCCTGAGGACCAGGTCTTGGGGTAATTTCCTGACCTTCTGAAAGGTCAGAAGTGAGAAGACTAGCTGGAGGTGCTGGCAGGGGTGTTGGCCAGAGCTGTCTTCTCGGGGGAAGGCTTTAAGGTAGAAGTCTTGGGAGCTTGCCTGTAGCTAGCAGTCCTACCTCTTAGACACACACACACACTTGCACACACGATATATAGAAAGTGATTTAAAACTGTCTGTTGTCTTATTCAGAGATCCTTTACCTTTTAGCAAGGTAAGTAAAAGTATCTTTTAAAAAAAGAGTGGGTGGTTAGTTGCTTGTGTAAGAAAGTTTCACAGTATGTCCTTTATTTAATGTTTGTCTCTTTTTAAAAAAAATGATTTTTTGATTTAAAAAATTGTTTTTATTTTATATGTGTAAGTGTATTGCCTGCATGTGTATAAGTGCACCTGTGTCGTGCAGTGTCTACAGAGGTCAGAAGAGGGCATCAGATCCCCTGGAAGTGGAGTTATAGATGGTTGTTAACCTTCATGTGGGTGTTGGAAACTGAACCCAGGTCCTCTGCAAAAGTAACCACTAAGCCATCTCTCCAGGCCAAGACTTTTTTTTTTTAAATATTATTTCCTGTTTATAGTGTTTACACAACAGAATACTTTGAAGCACAGGATAAATTTCCTTCTGTGATAACCTTTAAACATGACTGATCTAGTAAAAGAAAGTTTAAATGGCCTATGCAAATGGACATGTCAGCAATTGCATCTTATAAACATAAACCCTTCCTCAGTACTTGTCCTGCTCTCTTTCAAAAGGATGTCTACAATCAAAGTTGGGGGTGGAGCCTCCTAAAATTGGTTAAAAATTTAAGGACAAAGTTCTTAGCTAAGACCAAAATGTTAAACATTTTAGCTGAGCCCACTGTGATGGAAAAGCCTTCATCTGGAATATTTCCTGAATTTTATTAAATCACTCATACAAATACATAACATATAATTCATGTATGAATTAATGGATATAAGATACCTGTAGGAGCTTATTTCATTTTTTATTTTTAAATATTTTATTATTTTTATTTTATGTGTATGAGTGTATAGCCTGCATGTATGTGAATGCACCTGTGTTGTGCAATGCCATGGAGGTCAGAAGAGGGCTTCGGATTCCCCTGGAACTGGAGTTAAGGATGGTTCATAGCCACCATGTGGGTGCTGGGAATTGAACCCAGGTCCTCTGCAAGAGCAGTCAGTGCTCTCAACCGCTGAGCCATCTCTTCAGTTCCAGGAGCTTATTTCTTAGAGACTGTAGTAGCAACATGAAGACTTCGAACTTTTTTTTTTTTTTTTTTTTTTTTTTTGTGGTGCTAGGGATCAAACCCCGGGCCGTATGCATTCAAGGCACTCTACCAACTGAGCTATATCCCTAGCCCATAACTTTCTTTGTACTAGAAGTTAAAAGTCTGTACAGTTTGATTTTTGTGATGTAAGGTATGAAAGTCAATGAAGCTAAATAAATGAGTTGGCTTTGAGACTATTTCTGTGATCATAGTTGTGTTGTTTGATGGACTTTGATGGTTCCTGAAATTAGCTCTTTACCTATAGGCTCTTCAGAATAATTTCTTGAAACTATTATCTGTATAGAACTCTGCTCTCATTATCTGACTGAAAACATGGGCTTGTATTGACTCATTACCTGTGGCCAAATGTTAAAGTTAAAAAGTGATTTTTCCCCTTTTAAAATGGGGCCTCATGTAATCTACCTATATAGCCAGAGCTGGCCTTCAAGTACTGATCTTTCTGTCTCCAACTCACAAGTGCTGGGATTTCAGGTGTGTTCCATCACACCCAACAATTTTTTTCTTCACCTTTTTTCTTTTACATAAAGCAATATAATAATTGGGTTTAGTTCTACAATTTCTGGGTGGTCTAGGAAATTAGAAGAGCTGTATTTGGGTGGGGTACTGGGGAAGTGGCCCAGCTGGTAAAAATGCTTGTCATGCTGGCATGAGGGCATAAATTCAGAGGTAGCATGCTGCTGTAACTCCAGTGCTCTGGAGGTGGGTGCAGAGCACAGGTGCATCACCAAACCTCACCTGCCAGTGAACTAACCAGTGAGCTTCAGGTTCTGTCTCAGAAAATACATGGAGACGACAGAGGAAGACACCTGATGTCAACCTCTGGTTTCCACATGTGCATGCAAACTAGCACAGGCATATACCATACACACAATATATGTAACTGCAAAACAAAGATGATTCTTTGTAGAGTAACATCAGTATATAGTTATGTAATAATATTCACATTCCCACTCACCCTCAGTTGCCAAACTTACACACATGACTTTCTCACATGTGTTTTATTTTTCTACTTTTTAAATTTAGGAAACCAGTATTAACCCTAAATTCTGTTTGATTAAGGCAGGATGTAATAAATAAAATACCTATGTTCTTGTTGGGAATATAGATCAGTGGTAGAGCACTTACCTGACATGCAGGAGACCCTAAATTCAATTCCTAGTACTGCCAAAAAAACAAAAACACCAAAACCAACCCCCCCCAAAAAAAACCAACAGCAACAAAGGAAAAAGTTATATTCTTGTAAAGAAGGAAAGGTTAGGAGAAACACTGCAGTTACTGGCACGATTGTCTCTTCTTGAGTGCTTTCACGGAATCTAGTGTCCCTCACCTCTTCTGTACACAGCTGATTCGGGGTAAGCAGAATTTATATCTTGAATGTTAGCTTTATTTTTTCCTTTTTCAGAAGTGCTGTAAAATTAGTTTGTGCAATCACTCTGTCATTTTCAAATGGGATAATGATTTTCAGATGTTTATGTACTATATTATTGAAAAGAATTTTCAAAGAACAGCTTAAAATTTGCCAAACAGAAGCATTTAATTTTATGTGCTGAATCTAAGGCAAAATGTGTGTTCATTTAAACATATACAAAAAATTAATATGGATGGGGAAAAAGTGATTGACCTAAGCATTCCAAAGAAAGCCTTACATTATTCAGGGAAAACCCTGAAAATGGAAAGCAAAACTTAAACCATAATCATAGGAGTTTTGGTATAATGTCAAGGCCATTTCTGCCAGTTATGGCATGTTAAGTATTAATTCTCTGACATCTTGGCAAGTTTGTTCAGATGACTCAACATTTACCCTGAGAGTTCAATCAAATGCTACTGTACAGACATCTGACCTCAGATCCTTCTTAAACTCGTGTTCTTACAGTAACTGTCCCTCTACCTCTGTCCTGATTCCTAAAGGTAGAAGGAGGAAACTCCTGTCTCTGAACTAAGGAGATTTATGAAATCAAGGATTGTCTACAACTGGGGTATGACTCAGTGGTAGAACTCTTGCCAAGCATGTACAAGACCCTGGGTTTGATCACCAGTACCAAAAGGAAAAAAAAAAAAAGAGGGTTGTAGGGCTAATCTCAGCTTTGAGGAGAGAAAATTAATGTTTCTCTTCTTTCTCTTGTAGGTTGTCCTTCTACTCAGGCCACTCTTCGTTCTCCATGTACTGCATGCTATTTTTAGCAGTAAGTACTCTGTGTCTACTGATGGTTGCGTAGGTGCTGTATGGCCTGGCTGTTCCTGGCTGTGGCACATATGGTGAAAGTAAACCGGGTCAGGAAATTGTGCCCCTGTGTTATGTGCCCTACATGGAGACATTTCCTGGGGCACACAGCTGCTGTGCTCTTTGAGCAGGTCACTCACTGGGCTGGTGGCACTGCTGCCTCACTTTCTCTTACACTGTACCCTGGGGAGGAGAAATTTAATTACTGAAAGTGAAAGCCATCGTGGTGGCTACTATTTGAGCAGGGTTTGTTGTCTTTTCATTCTCTGAAACATTTCCCAGACTGCTTTCTACCAAACCAGAGACTTCCCACTTATGGCAGTTGTCTTGTCCAGGTCCAGGTGTGACAGCTCATCTGTAGTCAGCACGGCCACTCACTCTGCTTTATCCTTGTTGATACGGAGAAAAGAGGGCTACCCACACTTTGCTCATCCAAATAGAGATGAGTGTGTTTTGAGACCAAGAGAAGACAAGGTTTTTTAGGGACACATTCAAGGGATCTTTAAAGGCTAATTTTTATTTTTTTATAATATTCTTTTTCTATTTACATAATTACTTATAAAATTCTACGCATTATGGTATAGTCTCAACACCCAGAGGGAGATCTCTACCCTAACAGATCAGCTATAATTTTTGTGTTTTAATTTTTTTAAGGTTTTATATTATTTGTATATGTGTGGGTAGGGACATTGGAGGTCAGAGGAGAACTTGTCAGTTCTGCCTTCTAGCATGTAGGTTCTGGGGACTGAGATCCTTGGGTACTTATGCTTGGTGGTGAGCACCTTCACCTCTGAGCCACCTTATTGGCCTTACTTTTCTTTGTAAGTAGATTTTTATATAATTTGTAGATTCCTGTCCCTCCCCCCTTTTATCACACTAAATACATATGAGTACTTAAAACTGATTAGAATTCCTTTGTTTGGCTGGGCATAGTCACACATGCTTATAATCCCAGCATTTGGGAGGATTGTGAACTCCAGGCCACCCTTGGCCACATAGCAATACGTTGTCTCAAAGAAAAATAAAAGATAATCTATAATGTATAATGTTAAGGCAGACTCATGAGAGTTAATTTGGTCTCAGAATTTGCAGTCAACTTTAACAGACTCTATTTGGAAAAACCAGACTCCCCAAGTTAAAATAATAGAAAAATTGCAGATGTTATATAAAATTCAAATCAACTTCAAACCATTACAAGTTAATTTTTGGCTTCTCCAACATTACTGAAAATTGCAGAGCTTTCATCTTACATTAGTTTAATTTTGTGAGGAAGTAATAGGATACATAGCAGAATTCAGGGCTTCCTTTTTAAGACACACCCACATACTTCTGTAGCTGTCCCATGGGAAGTGACTTAGTTCAAGGCAGTAACAGCAAATACTATAACATCCTGTGTTTATCTTATTAGGGAAAATTAGCATTCTTTCCAGAGGAGCCAACATAATTTTTGCTTTTAAAATAGGATTCTGAGGAAGGCTGGGCACTGATGAGAGCCAGTTATACCCTTGGAACTTTCTCCAAAGCACGGGTCTGTGAACTATACTGAATGGCTTTGGAAGTGTTCAGCCATACTCACTAGGGTCTTGTGGTTTGTTATTCACTCTGTGTGTGTGTCTTCATCTTTTAGAGAGACCTAGGATTCTGTCTTGGTTGATAGCAATCATTTGCATTTTATACATTTTTTTGGACTTTTCTCATAATGTGCATACAGAAAAAGATGAGAAGTGACTGCTACTACTTTACAGATGAAGAGCTAGAGGCTTTGGAAGGGGCTTCGAAGGTCTGGAAAATTAGGAGCACCTACTTTTTTGATTACATGAAAGGGAAGTCAGACAGATGAAATGGGGGAGGGGACATTGCTTTAGGGAAGGCCTCAGTGGAGGAGAGTTCTGTGGATATACAGGAGCCAAGGGGCAATTGGGATATGTACACAGGGACTATTATCTCCACCATATATGGTAACTGGGTCAGTGTGAACCATTTAGATGTAAATTAAAATGAAAGGGGCCTGGGGAGATGGCTTAATTGGTTAAGTGCCAGCTATGTAAGCATGAGGACCTGAGCTCCAGTTGCCAGCACCCATGTAAAAAGTTAGGTTGTGCTGGTGTATGCCTGTAATCTTAGTACTGGGGAGGCAGAGATAGGATTCCCTGGAGCCCACTGGTCAGCTGAGCTGAATGATTGAGTTCCAGGTTCAGAGAGAAGCTGTCTCAAAACACAGGGTGGAAAGCAATAGAGGAAGATGCCCAACATCGACTTCTGGCCTGTGTATATATTTGCCCAGATGCCCAAACCCATATGTACACATTCTCAAACATAGATACATAAACCCTAAAGGGAGAGGGAAAAGGAGAGGGAGGTTGGGCTCTGTCTGTCTAGAGACAAAGGTCTATATAGATGGGTTTGTTATAAAACATGATATTTCTGGAGAAAAGCAACCATGTACTGTTTTATAACCATGACTCTAGGCAGTGGAAACATTTACTTGATTGGGAATGTAGGCCCAGCTTTGATTTCAGCCCTGAATAGAATTCTCCTTGCTTTCCTATTTATATACAACATCTAGCCTCCCCTCCCCAAATTCCTTAGGCAGTGACTCATCGTTTCCTTCGGCATCTTGGCATTACAGGTCAGTCCCAGGTTTCAGTGGCGATACACAGTCATTTAAATTCCCCCAAATTCCTGACACCCAGAAATTAATGGCTAGTTAAAAATGTCTCCTAACACCCATCCTTTGACTATTGTTCTGGTCTGGCAGGCAGCCCAGACCTGTAGTTAGTACCAGTGAGTCAGCACAGAGCAAGTGCTGGTGGGAGCTCAGGGTGGGGCTGCTTTGTCCTTGTGCTTGTGACGTCCCTTGAATTTGGTTGGCTGCCAAAGATTCCAAATTTGTGTGGCTCTTCAGAGTAGCCCTGGTAGAGGGCAGTGAGAAATGTATAAAGGTTTTCCATGGTTCCATCTGACTGAGGTTTACATCACAGCCTGTTACAAAACCTCCTTCATCATCATTTATAGCTCCTTTCCTCCCTGCCACAAAATTTCCTCTTAACCAGCCTACCTCTCCCTGGTGTAGACTGTGTCACTTCCCTACTGAAACCTTCTGATTGCTTCACACCACCCTTTTCTCACTTAGCACTATCCCTGTATCCCCAAAACATTATGGATATTTCATAAAGATGTTTCCAAGCTGTGGAGGAACACTGAGTACTGAACAAATGTTGACTCATGGCCTGTAGACTATTGTAAATTAGGAACTCCATGAATGCTGGAAATGGTGAAATAGAAGTCTAGAGAAGATTAAATTGATGCTTGCCTTACATTCTTCTGTGCTTGTATTGAGTGTGCTATTAGTGTAGTTCAGGGGTTGGCAATGATTTTTCAATAAAAGGTTCAACAAGTATTTAGGTTTAAAAAATATTTCTATTTTGTGTATATGAGTGTATTGCCTGCATGTGTCTAAGTGTGTTGTGCAATGCCTTTGAGGTCAGAAGAGGGCATCAGATCCCCTGGAACAGGAGTTACAGACAGTTGTTAGCCACCATGTGGGTGTTGGGAACTGAACCTGGGTTCTCTGCAAGAGCAGCCAGTGCTCTTAACTGCTGAGCCATCTCTCCAGCCTGTATTTAGGCTTTCTAAAAATGTTATTCTTCCTTTCTAAAAATACCGCCCCCTACCCCCTTACAGTGTTAGTGCTCAAACCCAGAGCTCCTCCCCTATATACCAGTCAAGTACCACTGGACTACACCCTGTGCCCAAAAATAACTCATTAAAAATGTGAGTTGATGCCTTGACTCTAGTCTAAAATAGGAAGTGGGGGAACTAAACCTCCTTATTTTAAGAATAGAGTACTGAAGAAAGTATGCGATAGTAACAGCATTTTATAGTAACAGATGTTAACAAAGTCATAGGAAACAAAAAGGAAAAAAACAGCTTCAAAAAGTTCAAGTCTATTTCAGTGTGAGATAGTTATCTTTTAATGGAAACTAAATGTTTCAAAAATTTTAGCCAAAAATGGTTATAACCTTAAGTATAGGGGCTGCTGTAATCAATTACTGTAGAGCAGATAGCTTATGAGCAGAAATGTATCCTCCACAGTTGTAGGAGTTGGTAATGTGTGGAAACAGGAGCCACATGACCAGGCGCTGGTTAGGACCTTCTTCCTAGCTGTGTACTGTTCGCTTCTGCTGTAGCAAGGGAGCTTCTGGGTTCTGTCTAAGAGTGCTAACCCATTTATGCGGGTTCTGTGTCCATGACAATCAGCTGCCAAAGCCCGTCTCCTAATATCACCTTGGGAGTTAGGATTTTGGCCTGCTAATCTGAGGTCCAATTTCCCTTAGTGATGATGGAATAATGAAAGAATGCCTGAATGGTGTCACAGATGTTGAATTGGTTAAAAAAAAAAAAAAGGAAAGAATATGCGTACTGAATTCTTTTTCAAATGTGGCCCTGTCCAGTGGAATCTTCATTTATTCTAAGTCTCTGTGCACTGTGTAAAACTGTGGGCTGGTCAAAGTCTGAATTGCCAGTGTTGTACTGTTGAGGGGAATTTGGAAGGCCTCTGCATGTCTGCCTGTAGGTGAAATGGCCACTTTCTTCCCTCCCGTTCTTTAGGCATAACCATTGGTTATTTTAGGCAAACCAACCCCTAAGGAATACAAAATTGCCTATATAAATCTCTCAAATGTCCCAGAGCAGTTTTTTCCTTTAAAAATCCCTGCAGAGCAGCTTGTCATTTTCTCCAGTAGCTTGACAGAGGCTTTGACCCTGCAGTGAGCAGAGAAATTCACCAGCATTTTCTAGAACCCTCCCTGAAGAGTAACTCTGGAAGCAAACAGTGCTTTTTTTGGAGAGGGGGCCCATAGCTAGAACCTTTCCACAAGGCCAGTAGTGAGTGATGCTGCTTCACTGAGGGCAATTCTGGAGGGACTTGCTAAGGTCAGCTCACCAGCTGGTTTCTTCTAAAACTTGGCTGGTTTATACTTACTGGTGCTCTGTGATTTGCTGGAATCTTGTTTTTAAGTCACTGAAAAGACTGAAACATGTTTCTATTAGAATGAGAAGGAGGAAAGAGAAATGCTTGGTGGCAGTTTCCTTGTGAGGCTTGAGGTTGGCAGCATTCATCACGGCAGCCTTCTACAGTGTGTGTGTGTGTGTGTGTGTGTGTGTGTGTGTGTGTGTGTGTGTGTGTGTGTGTGTGTGGATGGAAATGCAGAGGGAAGCATGTCAAGGGCAGTGAAGTATATATAAGCTGTATCTTTTGTTTTTCTTTCCTTCTTTCTTAACCTGTCTCCTGGAAAACCACATCTCTTTCTAGTTCTAGAGTTTTCCTGTCAGCAGGAATGACAGTACTGCCAGGCCCTGGTGTGGCTTTTACAAACATTACTATCTGCAGGCTACCTCTTTGGAAAGAAAATATTGCTAGAGTGGTTTTGGGAGTCCTAAGTGAGGTTTGCCTGTAGTAGTCCCATCTCTTGTTTCCCTTTGGCCTAGTTTCTCCATTGCTGTGACAAAACACTGACTAATACCAACTTGGAGAGGAAAGGGTTTATTTAGCTTACATATCCCGGGTCACAGTTCATCTGGGAGCCCAAGGTAGGAACTCAGGGCAGGAACCTGGAAGCAGGAGCTGGAGTACAGGCCATGGAGGAACACTGCTTACTGGCTTGCTCTCCTGGCCCTGCTCAGCCTGCTTTCTTATCCAACACAGGCCCACCTGCCCAGGGGTGGCACTACCCATAGTGGGCTGGGCCCTCCTACATCGAGGCTTTCTCAACCCAGGTGTGTCAAGTTGACACTAAAGCTATCAGCACACCCTTAGATCAGAAGTATAAAAGGCGTCTTAAGTCCATTTTAGAATGGACTCCTCCCCACCCCCACCCCTGGCCTTAGCAGAGATGGACAAAATTCTCCCTAAGATGTCTCTATTTGTTTGGTATTTTAATTCCTAGGTGTTTTTATTGCCTGAATAACCTGTTGGCAACAGCTGAACTTTGTTAGAAATAACCAGGGTCTGGCTTCAGTTGTAGCCAAGGAACTTTTCTTTGAAATGAACTTAATAATTAAGGTGGAAATAATGGAAGTGACTTTTGAGATGAGACTATTTTCATTGTTTGAACAAACAAAAATGGGGGTGGGGAGACCTCTCCATGGAGAGCCAGCACACTTTAGCTAGCTAGTAAGTCACTCAGTTAAACAACTGGTGTGGTATTTTATAACTAGATGTTTACACTGTGCACTTGATAAAATTAGACAACCTTTGGGTCTTTGCCAGCTCCTGAGAACTGAATACCTACAGCAGTACCCAAAGAATAGGGGGTAGATATGCATCTATTTTAAACAAGCAGTGTCAATAAGCTGAGCCATGTAAATCGTTTCTGAGGACAGCAAGTCTGAGTCATAAATTATTGTACGGATTTTGTGTGTGTGTGGTGTGTGTGTGTGTGTGTGTGCCTGCGCACACTTCCGTGTCCTTAGGAATGCTGTCTTACTTTTCTGTTGCTGTGATAAAAGCACTGACCAAAGCAACTTATAAAAGGGTTTATTTAGCTTAGTTCCAGAGGAGTCAAGAGTCCATCATGATGGGGCGGCATGATGGCAAGAGGCGGCCAAAGGAGAAAGTAAAAGCTCACATCTTCAAGCAGGCAGAGGAAGCAAAAGACTGGAGATCTGGCAAGGCTTTAAGAACTCTCAAAACCTGCCTCCAGTGACTTGCTTCCTCCAGCATGGCCACACCTCCTAAAGCCTCCCCAAATAGCACCACCAAATGAGAACAAAATGTTCAAATACTTGGAGCCTATGGGAGACAGTCTCATTCAAACTGCTATAAATATTATCTACCTTCTTTGAGACAGGGTCTTCACTGGCCAGGAGTTCACCAATTAGGTTAGACTGGCTAGCCAACAAGTCCCAGGGATCCTTCTGTCTCTGCCTCCCCAGTTGTGATTAAAAGTGCATGCTATCGTACCTGGCTTTTTTATGGAGGTGTTGGGGGTCTAACTGATGTCCTGTGCTTCCAAAGCAAGCATTTTACAGACTGTGCCATCCCCCTAGCTTGCAGATTCTTTAAATGTTAGAAGTTCCTGGGGGGGGGGGGGCATAACAGGCTTTTGGCACCCAAGGTGGCCTGGAACTTTCCATACTCCTACCTCAAGTCTCCCGAGTGCTGAGATTATAGGCATGCAATGCTAACCACCTACATGGTCCAAAGCAGGTATTATTTTTTAATGAGAAGTGATTCACTGAAGAGTTTCTTCTACACCAAAAAATCTTCACATTTTGATGTACCCAAAAATATGGGAAAGGGGATATATTCAGATATAGAAAAGAGTACATACAAATTGGGAGGATAAATTCCTTTGCTGGATCCCAACTACACTGTAACCTGTATTACTTGAGCAGATTATATTTAAATCATCTCATTTGCTGTTAAGTAGTTTGAACCTAGGAGAGCTCTGGGATAAACTGGTGAGTTAAGTAGCCTCTAGATGTGCTGGGCAAGAAACAGAAGCCTAGAGCAAGGGCAACTGTTGTCAGAATGCTAGCAGTTCATTGTAAGAATAGAACTAATGACAACACTGTCCTTGACTATCAGAACTATGTATAACCCAGACTGCAAGGGAAGGAACTACCCTGAAATCTTGTCTATAAAGTGCAAAGAGTGAAGTCCTGCATGGAACAGCCAAGTAGGTAATAAATTCTTCTAAACACGTTACTAGGGTGGTATTCCATCTATAATTTGATAGTCTAAAGGTCTGGAGATACTCAAACACTTTCAATTGACTTGTTAAATGCCTTTTTTTTTTCCTTTCCACTCTTCTGTTACTAGCTTTATCTTCAAGCTAGGATGAAAGGAGATTGGGCAAGACTCCTACGTCCCACGCTGCAGTTTGGTCTTGTCGCTCTATCCATTTATGTGGGCCTTTCTCGAATTTCTGATTATAAACACCACTGGAGTGATGTGTTGACTGGACTCATTCAAGGAGCTGTGGTTGCAATATTAGTGGTAAGTATACTGAGCAGCATCCCATATCCTGACCGTGCTAAACATTTGGAAAAATAGGTAGGAAAAGAAAAAGTCCCCAGTGAGACCTGACAAGGCAGAAAATGTGGCTCAGCAACTTGTGGGTAAGATGCCCTTTGTTATTCAATACTATTTTGGGATAGACAGACAAAAATTAGGTAACTTTTTGCAAATGTTGTAAAATTCTTAGTATTTTTATTGTTAAAGCCTATGGTTATAGACAGTTTTCTTTTGGTATGAATTTAAAACTAATTTACTTAAAAGCCGGGCGTGGTGGTGCATACCTTTAATCCCAGCACTTGGGAAGCAGAGGCCAGTGGAACTCTGTGAGGTCCAGGCCAGCCTGGTCTACATAGCGAGCTCTAGGGAGACCCTGTCTCAAAAAGACAAAAACAAAAAACAAAAACCCAACAACAAAAAAACCCTTAATTTACTTAAATAACTCATTAAGTATTGGCAAAATGAAGCTGTTTACCAAAGGCATAGTAAGCAATTATTTGGAATAATTTCCTTTAAAATTCTTTTCCACTAGTTGTTTTTTATACTCTTAATTGCTTTCTGAAGCTTTACGTATGTTTAAAACTTGTGTAAATTATACCATTTCATATTTTGTCCTGTTCTAAGTATAACCTGTTCTGTATATATAGGCTGTGTATGTATCAGATTTCTTCAAGGAAAAAAATACTTATAAACAAAAAAAAGAGGATGACTCTCATACAACTCTGCATGAAACAGCAACTACAGCACATGATTATTCGAGCAATCACCAGCCTTGAAGGGTGGCAGATGAAGCTGGCCTGCTTTCTAGAGGATGCCAAATGCAAACAGAGGCAGAAGGAAGTGTTTCTTCCTGGTGTACAGGCCACTATGGGACTGCTGCTGCTGCTATACCTCCTGGATACCCACTTCACCCATGTATATACTTACACTTAACACAATGAGTAACAGCTCTAAGTTCATTAAAAAAAATTTCAAGCCTTCCACTAAAACAATGCCCTACCTGTACATTATTTTTTATTAAAAGATGCTATGTACATATGTGTATGTTATATACCTTAGAATGATGTTTGATTGAAATATAATAAAATGCTTGAGTACAATGGGCTTGAGATGGAAGAACCACTTTGACACTTGTATTTGTAGTCACTGTAACCAGAGGCAGTGAGTAGTTTAAAATCTCACATTTCTTAAGGTGACTCTATAAGTAGAGGCTGGCAGCAAACACAATATCCCTCTTGATTTTAGTGATTCCTAGAAGAAAAGAAAGTAAGGATTAAACTTTCAAGACCACAAAGCATGTAACTTCCTTTTACTGGGGTTTTAAAGATAGCACAGTCCTGATAAATTGATAAGAGAAACCAAAATAAAAAGCTTGTTATCCTAAAAGATTCCTAGAGGCATTTACAGTCACCTGAAGGAAACTTGGAAGCCAGATTCTTATTCTTTTGATTGCCAACTACAACTATGTGTGTGGTGTGGGTAGGTACCTAAGACTATTAGAAAAGATCATCTGGAAAAGGACTAAGCTGTTGGAGTACTGATCTAAAGCATGTATCTTTTTATCAGAAGACAGTATTGTTTTTAGCTACCATGTGAAAATTCTTTTTATACTAAAGTAGGAAAAGTATAAACTTTGTGTGGAAATGTAAGGTAGTTTTTATACACTTAAGTTGTTAGCAAAAAATCACTAACTAGCATGGACTGACTTTAATAGTCTTATCTTGGCAGGTGGAGATGTTAAGCTACTTACAAGCTATACTTAAACAATATCCCTTGCTTGGTTTAGCCATCCTTCCTGGTCTGAGTTCACTGCATCCCCCTTGCTACTCTTCAAACTTGCCCCCAATGCAATGAGAATTACATTGTTATTGTCGAAGTCAGCACATACCACTCTGGCACTCCAAATCTCCATCACCAGAGAGTAAGGCTAAGACTTACTACATGTTCATTTCCCTCCAACCCAAACTTCTACTCACTGCTCACTTTGCTCCAACACACTAGCCTCCTGCTATTGCTCAAACATTCCAAGCGTACATAAAAGGCCCTAAATGCCATCTTCTGTATGGAGGCTCCAGGCTACTATCTTTTCCCATTTTATTCTTGCAGACTTGATGACCATCTGATACATTCTATTGTTGACTTGTCGATCTTTCTCACACAAGATAAGCTCCACTGAAGCCTAGAGTATCTTTTTGTGCACTCTTAGAGTTGTGTCAAGGGCTCAAATCTAAAGATTTATCTAAATTACTAGAAAAGGCTTATAAACAGGCCACCAACCTTCCGCAAACTTGTTTTCCAGCTCAGTATTTCCAATGGCTTTTGCCGCCTGACACATTTGTCGAAGGAGTTCTTCCAGGCGCCTCATACAACGAATTATGCTGCCTGGACAGAAAAGGAGTGAATGGATCACTTGTAAAATGGATGCAATCAGGAATAGAACATTTATTATGATGGACATAAGGCAGTTAAAAAGGCACATACTTCTCATGAAGTCAATAGGCTAGCAAACTTGACCAGCTGTCTGCTAGGCACTAAGATTACACAAAAGAAAGATTTTATTAATACATTCCACTTCCTTTTAGAGGAGGGGAAACCTGGTTTGCAGAGCAAAGCACAACTTTGGGAAAGGTTGGCAAGCATGGCATCTCATCTGAACCTGTAAGAATAGGGGAGTCTGTCAGGCAGGGACAAGTTCACAGATAGTGGAAAAAAGCCTCACAAAGTATAGATTATTCAAGAACCCTGGGTGTGGCCTGCTCAGGATTCTGGATATCATGCATATTAATTACTCTGTGGAGAGAACAGGATTGGGTATGTCATCTGAATGATGCAACCATTCACACTGACTTTGTAAACAGTTTCCTCAGTGATTTCTTCACACAGTGTGTTCTCAAAGTAATACAAAGAAAAAATGAACCTTTCCTCCATGGATCTCAATTCTAAAACAAGTGTCTGTATCAAAGCTGAAGCTGTGGGCACCACCACTTGTCAGACTTGTTTGCAAGGTGGGAATTGAGATCCTTTCTCCAAGTGTAGCCTGACTCTGGGGAGTCCACTTTTAATGCCTAGAATACATTAGGAATGCCAGTTCTCTAAATGCAAGGTGCAGGAAAGGTGGGCCACATTTTGACTCCTTGCAACACTGGAATTATTAACATCAAATTTTTAATCACCACTCAATGCTGAAGGCTCTTATTGTTTAATCCCTTCCACATTATGCTCCAGTTTACCCAAGTGGGAATAAACAACTGAGATTCAACTCAAGGAAGAATCAAAACACACGGAAATGTGTTAAGTTTCAATGGTAAATGTATAAAACTGGGTTTCAGGTTCTTCATGGTTTGTAGTAGTATAAGCTTAAAAGCGTCGTACATGTCTAACAATAGGAGATTGAGAAGTTATGCAGATCAAGTGTGGATACTAGTTCCAGAAAGGAACTGTGTGGACAACGGACAAGATGGGTAGCTTCTCCTTTCCTCAGTTTAGTGATCTGAAAACTGACCACCATAAATTTGACTATGTAAAAAAGTTCCTGTTAGAAACTGTCCAGTGTTAAGTATCAACAAATGCAAGCTGATCTTAAATGTGAGCATTTACTGTAGTAGAAGTTCCCTGGGGGAAGACAGTAAACAGTAAATCTGCTTTTAGGTTATTATGAAATCCTATAGCCATTTCTCTTTATTCCACTTTAAATACTATTTGATCTTACTGGCCAGTGACACATTGCTTTTCTTCTTGATGACTTCTTTCTGGTCATCTGTATTATCTTCTTTTGAGTTATAAATGCTAGAATGCCTTAGATCTTAAGTCTCAAGCATTATTTCCAAAACGTAAACTGGTAACAAGGCACAGTGACAGATGCCTGTAAACCCAACTGCTTGGGAGGCCGAGGTCAGCCTGGACAGCATGGCAAGACCCTGTCTCAAACTGAAAAACAAAAAGGGCTGGAGAGTTAGCTCAGCAGTAGTGTGCTTTCCTAGCATGTGCAAGGCCCCAGGTTATACCCTCTGTAAAATAAACCACTTTACTGTTCCTTCCTAATCTTCACTAACCTTTGAGAAACTTCAGCTTACTCATTTGTAAATACACATGCCACTTCACCTGCTTATTATGAGCTATAAGTAAGACAGTACAAGTAAAGTGCTTTACAGAAGTCCATAACACAACAGGACTTCAATATAGGTTGGCTAGACTTGTTACTGTTGTTCTCGGATTTCCTAGGAATGCTGTTTTAATATTGCCTCACAAGAAGAAGAAATCCCATTTCAGAAGCTTCTGGACATCTAAGGAACTGGAATAGAAATGGTCACAAATATGGAACTAGATATTAAGTATTTAAGCAAATTATTCAGAAAGAATTAAATCAGGTGGTGGTTTAAACAGAAACATACAGCACTTTAGGAAGGAGCAGAATAGGTAGGCTCGCAGGGTGTGTAGGATTGGAATGCAATCTTTTTCAGTCTGCCACTATATAGGGCATCAAAAAGTGAGGCACTGTCTCAAACTTTTGTTTGGGTTCTTTTTTTTCCTTTGAATTTGGTTGCTATTTTTTGACACAAGGTCTCCCTATAACCCCAGCTGGTCTAGAACTTCCTATGTAGACCAGGCTGGCCTCCATCTCAGATATCTGCCTGCCTCTGTCTCCCCAGAGTAGGACTAAAGAAGGTAGGCACCACTGTGCACCTGGTTCATACACACGGTTTTGACTGATCACAAATGTGTACCAAGAAACACTAATATTGTTTTACTATTTCTACAAATGTAACTAATTTTAACCAGAAACCACCAGTTATCAGATGCCACAGCATTCTAAGTAAATTCAGATAAAGTATAAAACTAGTAACAAGAAAACACACAATCAGGTCAGAGTACTCTTACTTTGTAAACACAATGGAAAATTTAGTTGTGACACAGCTTCAGATAACAAAAGAACAATTAAGAAAATGAGGCCACTAGGTGCAGGTTGCATCCCCAAGAGCTCTGGTAGCTGTCCAGTCTCATCAACAGATTACTGTGTACAGATACAAACACTTAACTGTCCCCTGCAGCACAGAGGTGGCTCCCCTTAGGGATTAATGAAGACTACTGTTAAGTGGTGAATTATCTAGCACCTTTCCCACCCACTGCAGTTCTCTGTAGTCCAAGACTTTCATTCTGCCTCACTAATTAGGACCAGCTAGATGGATTACAATATAAAAACCTCAAACCCATAACCATTTCCATGCTACCCGAAGCAGCAACCTAATGTAACATTTTTTCTTCTGGTCCTCCCAGAAATAAAAGTCGTGCTAGTCACTGCTTTTTCCCCCCTCTTATATAATAAGGGTAAAATACATGTAACATAAAATTCACTATTTTAACCATGTTAAAGTACCCAATTTGGCATACCTGCCTTTTTAATAATCTGGAAGAACTTTTACTAAGAAACAACTTATAAAACTCATCCTTTTAAACAATGTACAATTCAATGGTTTTTAGTTTATCCACAGCTGTATAAATATCACTAATTTTCAAACATTTTTAATCACCTCCTAAAAAACTCTGTTCTCATTAAGTAGTCACACCCAATTCTGTCTCCACAAGCATGGCAAACATTAGCTAGCCTTCTGTCTTTACAAAACCATTTAGAAATTTTTTACAAACATAATCATGTTTATCTCTTTCAGCCTCTCATATTCAAGATTCAGCCATATGCTAGCATGAATCAGTATTTCAATAATAATAATAAACTTTTAATATATCAATATATTACAGTTTATTGACCTATTAATGAGATGACACTACAGGCTCTTAGTTAAGTAAGAGCACTTTTATATAACAGCTTTACCTACTTTATGAATGAAACAGTTACTGTCCTCATTAAGGACAGAAACGGATTTCCTCAGCATTTCCAATGCTTTTCTAAGTTTAATTTTTTTGCGAATTTCATGAGTCCTGAATTTACCTCATTCCCACTCTCCCCTGTTGCCCCCCGACCCCCCACTCCCTCTCAACTTCCAGATCTCTAATTATTATCATTACATATATGTATTTATG